GGATAGTTTATGATCGGGTGTAAAAATCCAGCGGATTGGGCTAAAAAATAGTCGGATATCCACGGATCCAAACACTATATTAGGTACGTACTATGTCAGGTATAATAGTAATTTTATTATGATCAGATTATTATCAGCAAAATTAAAAATGATTAATCGAACAATTTTATATAAGTTTAATTATAAAGAAAAGAATAAAATTCTAAAGAATTCACGCAAATTTTGTGCTCATTTTTTTAATTGCTTTCAATCGAAAATGTTGCGTCAGGATTATTTCAAAATAACAATGTTTGATTTTTCGCAAAGCTCCAATTAAAACTTGAACTTGTTATTTATATAAATTTTTTTCGCGCCAATTAACGAAATTTAAAACCTTCTACAAAACAAATGCCCAAAAATTACATGTTGGGCGGTTTGAAGTTACAATTTCTTTTAACGTTCTCCCCCATTAGCGTCAGGTTACCCGGATAACCGGATGATAAAATTGATTAACGGATAAATAATTAAGATATCCGGTTAACCTAAAAGATAACTTAAGATAAAATATGGTAAAATATAATAACAAATAATTTATGTTGTGCGCCAAATTAATAGCCGCGTCAGATTAAAACAATCGTAATCCTGCTGAAACCTATTCTTACATCGCGCCCAATTTAATCATTAATTTTTAAATGGTACGTACGTATATCGTTTACGTACTACACGTAATGTGTTTTAGAATTGCTTTGTTTATAAAATTTTGATAAAATCAAGTTTATCATGTAATAAAATCAAAAACATAGTAACAATAAAACGTTTAGTCAGCATCGTAGTCAGGATAGAATGAATTTCAGTTGGTTATATAAATCAAACAAGCAAAATGTAAGCTAATGAATTATTAAAACATGATTGTCTAAAGCATAGCGGAAGACACTAATAATTACATATGGAATACTGTATTTTTTTAATTAATTCTGTAATTTTGATTGGCTGATAGCCATGCATTGATATTACCCCAAATATAACCTAGGATATAACCGTTAACCTCTTACCTCAATGGAATATAAAAGTGGTTATTAGATTTTATTAAAGGTTATAACCTTTCGGATAAAGGTTAACCGGGTACGATCACTACCCAAGAGCTCCCCCTGAATTAAACAAGCCAATCAGAACGTTCTTTGAAATTTCAATAAATCATGTGTCTATAATAATGTAGATGTTATATAATGTTTGCTTAATTTGACCCCCTCCCCCTATTGCGCTTAAGTTTCAAAAGGAACGTTAAACGAAATTATAACTTCAAAATGGCCTTAATAAAGAGTCTTAAAACATAGCTTTATTTTAGATATTTTATAAACAACTTGTGAAATGTTCAAGGTAATACCTTGCCTTGATAATGAGTTGAATCATTTAAAAGAGATTACTGTAATATAACATAAGCCATATCCATCACCGAAATTATCTTTGTGCAACCTAAAAATCTGATCATAGTAAAATTACCAATATAGTTTTGATTACTTGGCAGATTTACCACCCCAGTACGTACAGTACGTATTTTACTGTAGGGAGACATGAAAATTAATTCACATTTGGTTTATGTAAATTTTCGTTTTCGACATTTTTAAATTTTGCAGCAAAGAGATTTAAACCGTTAATTTCGAGTGTTGTTACATGTGTTCGGGGATGATCAAATTTGAATTCACTTACTAGATTTGTTGTATTACCGTTATTTCATTGGCTGAGATTTACATTCAGCTAAAAAAAGACTGGTACGTACGTACATACGTATGTACGCACATCATTTCATATCATAATTTTGTGCACTGCTGGGCAAATAAATAGCAGATAAACGAACGCCATGTACCCAGTGTTGATAAATCCATGGTAATTTGCCGATGACAAACCTATAGGCAGCAATGTAAGTTTTTTCACTGTACAACGTCCAACTGTTCGAAACTACCCAAGGCATGCTCTCAAGCTTTAATAATTAATAAATTTCTCTAATATATATATATAATTATTATTTAACTAAAATTAATAAATTTCTCTAAAATATATATATAATTATTATTTAACTAAAATTAAAATATTTATCTTAATAAAATGAGCAATTTAATTAATTATCCAAAATATCCAAAAGTGTCAAACTCACTGTCCATGTACGTACGTCTGTAGAAGCATTCAAATCAGGGTTTAAAAATGACCTGCACAAGATATACATATGGAAACATGCATAAATTTATTTGGGAACACCTATTTCCACCATGAGACTTTACTATTTGCTGTAATTTTATTTATTGTGTATATGCAGCATGGTAGAAATAGGCGCTTCCATTTATTAAATATAATTATTTAATTAAATTTATTAACTGTTAAGATAATGCACAAAAAACAATTTCGTACGTACGTACGTACAAGGAAAATACAGACAACTTTTTCTATAACGAACTGTTGGTTCTTGCTGTAAAAAAAGGTTATATAAAATTATTGTTTTTTAGACTATGATAACCTTTTATACTGAATCAATATGAAATTTTTGGAATTTCAGAGTTCGTTATAGATAGGTCCGTTATAAAGGATTTTGACTGTCTGTAACTTGTATAAATATATATGTGCGTATGTAAGTTACTTGCATTTGTGTGCAAATGGTTTTGAACACTGATGAAAAAAAACTAGGGATTAGGCCCTGTTGTTAAACGAAGTATATAGGTACAGAAATATTTACGTCACTGGGTGAGTGCAAGAAATAATAAATATGCAAGGGTTTCTTATTTTTAATTTTATAAACTATTTTTAATACATAATATCTATATAATATATATATAATGACTATAAATTATAATCTAAAATTCTATATACGTACTCGTTATTGTTAATAAGTAGAGTAAAGAGTCGGATTTTTCAATCCGAATATATAACTTATGTACATATTGAGGTTTTTTTCTTTTTTATTTAGTAGCCAAAACAATATAATGTTCTTGAAATGAATGATACTTATCTACCTCATCGAAATACATTATTCTAAATGTACGATCCCACTCGTCTTCGGTAAGATTCATAAGTGGTGCTAATATTGATCTAACAGCTTCTCCCATTTGAACTAAATTTGTCGTCCAGATTTGACTAATTTTTCCGGCACTTTCATCCCATCTTTTTTTTTTTTTTTTTTAAAGAAATTGGTCATTTTAAATTTTTAAATAAATTAAAAAAGAATTTCTTAAGGAAATGCAAGACTTACTTTCCAAGTGATATATATTTACTCATGCTAGTTACATTTTGAAATCCTAAAACTTCGATCATTGGTTCAAATTTCTGGTGGAGATCTATTTCGAAAGCGACAGACATTGCTTCAGCTAAATTTTCATTAGAATAGATATAAAGATTAAGTTTTGATTTATAAAAGTTTGAAAAAAGAAAATTGGATACGTACTAACTTTATTCGTATATTGAGTAAAAACCGGGCCTATTGAATACGCTATTTCATAGTAAACGAAAGATGAGTAATTAGAGTAATTATGTAATTCGTTACTGCAAATTTTGACTGCAATCCAAATAGTAGAACTGATGGCTTATAATTCTGGTCAAATTTGCAGATCATTTGACCAAAGTCGGAATGAAAGCTTGGCCAACTTGACCAGAGTTACAAGTAATCAGTTCTACTATTTTTGTATTTAGTTGACTTGACACTCACGAATGCAGTTAAGTTCTACACTTTCGATGGTGCCACCAGGTTTCATCACTCTTTTTACATCTTTTAACACTGAAAGCCATTGATATGTCTTTATCGATGGAAGCATATGTCTCATAAAAACATAATCGAACTCATCATCACCAAATGGTAAACCTTCAAGTATGTCACATGTTCTAAAGTGGCAGTTTTTAGGTTTTATCTTGTTTGGAAAAGATGATAATATGTCTATACCATAAACTTCTGCATAAGGAAATTCTTGTGCTATTTCAAAGCTAATTAATCCAAGATAATTTAAATAATAAGAAAATTGATATACTGTGTATTGTATTGCATTTGAAAATAACTAGATAGTTACCACCAATGTCCGGGACCACATCCAATATCCTATAAAATAAAAAAATTATATTTTAAGTTTGAATATAAAATCAATATTTGAATATATTTATCACTGTTTTCGAAATGGTTGAAAATATATATATTTTTTGAGTATACCCGTATGCTGCGTATACTCATGTGTCGGATTACCTTAGCACGTTGATTGAAGATCGATGTTTGATTTACTTATTTTTTAAACAATAAGTACGTACGTACGTAAGTAATCAAACATCGATCTTCAATAAATATGCTAAGGTAATCAATCCAGCATACGAGTATACGCAGTATACTCGTATACCAGAAAAATTTTTTTCCACTCATTTCTACCATTTCGAAAACCGCGATAAATAATTAAATTTTTAAATACTTACCAAAATTTTGCTTCCGGGTCTAATAATATCTGAAAGCTTTGCATTGTAATTTCCATCTAATGCATGTTTTAGAACGAAATGAAGTACCTGAAGTCTGTCAGCTTCTTCCCAATCTGCGGGAAACTATTTCCAAGAAAATTGTATAAATTTTATAAATATTAATACAGTATATGAGCTTGAAAAAATATTCATTGATTTTAAATTAATAAACAGCTTACAATATAAGTGGAAAAATTCTCTTCAAAATAAGGCCGACCAGCTACAGTTTTCAATTGCGGCACTAATTGAATATGGACGGAAGCACTATCATCAGATGAAATTGTACTCGTTTCTCTGGCTGAATAAGTTCGAGACTTTTTTTTCTTTATAATTCTATGAGATATCTTATTTCCCATTTTATTAAACTATTCTAAATTAAAATAATAAAAGATTGATGCTCTTTTAAACTTTCTGTTTTAACAAGCATATATACGTTGTGAATATTATTAATTTATATCAAAGGTATAATATGTTTATCAACCGTGAAGAGAGAATTTGCTTTTATTATATAAACATTTAATAAATGAAGCAATCGATCTATTTCATAATTGGTAAGTACCATCAAGTTGATTGTTTCACTACCTTGCTGTTTGTTTAAGTGAACCAGAATTACTCGAGTTAGGATATATCCATGGTACCAATAAACTAAATATGTAATAAACATTAAATTTTGCATGACTTTACAAAAATCACAAAAACATATTTACTGTGTATCCAAACAAGCAGAACCAATATTCGTATGATTACTATTTATAATTTACTTCTTCAAATATATTTTTTTTAATTGCCTAGTAGAACAAAGAATATCTTTGAAAAAAATTTGGTGTATTCATGATTATTAAACGTAAAAGGTTTTCAATAGTTAAAATATTGCATAATTAAACCTGGCAATTTATTTGTTTAACCGAGAATTCATCATCATTATTAATGATATGTGTAGAAAAAGTACATAAATTGCCCAATATACATGTGTATATTTTGGGTTTAGGTCAAATCCCGAAAATAAGGAACTCGACAGTGTCAAAATTCCTAAAAAATTGGCCAAAATTAAACTAATTCTGACTAACTTTGTCGAGATTTGACCAAGTCCATCTATTTTACCTCACCTGTTATCGTATTCAGCCTATTAAAGCTTTCATGGTTATAATACGAAATAAGTTATAATAGCACGTGTTGCTTAGGTTATAATGGTAATATTTGTAATTTTGATATTAGCAATTCGATAATTAATCTTCATTAGCATATTCTGACACTCAACACTATACGTACAGACATTAATGGTGTTGACAGACCTACGTATTTTTTTCAATGATGAATTAGCGAAACTAATGAAGCCCATCACATGAAATTATGCTATTCATTTCGTTAATGTTTTTTAAATTTTGTCAGACATTATTAATATACGTACATACGTATAATATTCTTATCTCTACCCCTATAAAAAAATTTGTAAGGCTATTGCATGCATTGTCCAAAATAGTGTTTGGATCCGTTGAACAAATCCGTTGGATGATCCGATGGATATCCGACTATTTTAATCCAGTGGATATTTATCCGTTATCCGTCGGATCATCCGAAATTAATACAAATTAATTTAAAGTCTATTTTGATAGATCATTGATGTAATCAAAAAGTAAATAAACTTAGATTTGATCGATGTGTAGTCCAACTTTTACTTCGTTATCTTGTGTCACTTGCTCTGTGTATTATATAACCCCATATTACTTACCGTTAGTGGAAATGGAGAATAGTGAAGGATATTTATCTCCTAGTGAAAGTTTAACAAAGAACCTAATAGGGCTTCTTTGATGGATATTCAACTACAACGAACAATGATAAATCTAAAGAACTCGAAAAAAGAGGATGATCAAGAAAAAGAAGTTGGATATGGGTCATTTTAAAGAATTATCTACTGATAATGGATCCAAAGGCAGTGCTAAAAACTAAAGAAAAACGGAGATATATGTGAT